AGTTTCCTTATTTTGTTTGAATGATCTGTCCATTGATGTAAATGGGATGCTAAAGTCCCCTATTATTATTGTATTACTGCCAATTATCTCATTTATTTTTATTAATGGTTTCATGCTTTGTATATTTCCTGTTGTGTGAACAAATATTTACAATTGTTATATCCTCTTGTTAGATTGTCCCCCTTATATTATTAAGTCCTTCTTTGTCTCTTATTTTTTTCTCTTATCTTGTTTTTGTTCTAAAGTCTATTTTTTATTTTTATTTACGTAAAAATATTTATTCATGAGAGGCACAGAGAGAGAGAAAGAGGCAGAGACATAGGCAAGGGGAGAAGCAGGCTCCCTGTGGGGAGCCTGATATGTGAGTCGATCCCAGGACCCTGGGATCACGACCTGAGCCAAAGGCAGATGCTCAACCACTGAGCCACCCAGGTGCCCCCCTAAAGTCTATTTTTTAAAAGATTTTATTTATTTGAGCAAAAGAAAGAACATGCAAGTGAGCACAAGCAGGGAGAGGGGCAGAGGGAGAAGGAGAAGCAGACTCCCCCACTGAGCAGGGAGCCCCATGTGGGGCTTAATTCCAGGACCCTGAGATCATGAACTGAGCTAAAGGTAGACACTTAACCAACTAAGGCACCCAGGTGCCCCTAAATTCTATTAAAGAAAATAAAGTCTATTTTGCCCCATGTAAGTATTGCTACTCTGGCTTTCTTTTGACATCCATTTGCATGAGAAATGTTTCTCCACCCCCTCACTTTCAATCTGCAGGTGTCTTTTTTTGAGATGGTCCAAAATGAGTCTCTTATAGGCAGCATATAGATGGGTTTTGTTCTTTCACCTATACTGTCACCCTATGTCTTTTGGAGCATTTAGTCCATTTATAGTCAAAGGAATTATTGATAGATTTGTGCTTATTATTATTTTGTTGTTTTGTAGTTGTTTTTGTATTTTATCTCTGATCCTTCCTTCTCTAGCTTTCTTTCATGATTTGCTGATTTTAAGTGATATGCTTGGATTCCTTTCTCTTTATTCCTTGCAATCTATGAGTCGTTTTTGAATCGTGGTTACCATTAACTCTGTATCTTTTGCATTTAGCAGTCTGTATTACACTGATGATCACTCAAATGTGAACCTATTCTCTCCTCCCCATGTTTTAGGTATACAGTGTCATACTTTGTATCTTTTTATTTTATGAGTCCCTTGGCTGATTTTTACAGATATATTCAACTGCTTTTGTGTTTCCTACTTTTTTAAGTCCTATTTATGGTTTTTCCTTTGCATTCAAAGAGCCTGCTTTTATATATATATATATATATATATATATATATATATATATATATATATTTATTTTATTTATTTTATTTTATTTATTTATTTTTTTTTGTAGGACAGGTGTAGTGGTCAAGAACTACTTTACTTTTGTCTGAGAAGCTTTCTCTCTATTTGGATGAGAGCCTTGCTGCATAGAATACTCTTGGCTGCAGGTTGTTCTTCAGCACTGTGAATAGAGCATGTCACTCCCTTCTGGTTCTTCAGTGTTTCTGCTGAAAAATCAGCTGATAGCCTGATGGGGGTTTTCATTGTATGTAATTGTTTTCTTTTGTTGCTTTTAAAATCCTGTCTTTCTCATTACTTTTTGCTATTGTGGTTACTGTATGTTTTCATGTGGACCTCCTTTGGTTGATTTTGTTGGGGCTCTCTGTGCCTCCTGGATTTGGATTTCCATCTTTCCCCACATTTAGGAGGTTTTCAGTTATTCTTTCTTTCTTTTTTTTTTTAAGATTTTCTTTTTTAAAAAATTTATTTATGATAGTCACACACAGAGAGAGAGAGAGGCAGAGACACAGGCTGAGGGAGAAGCAGGCTCCATGCACCGGGAGCCCAACGTGGGATTCGATCCAGGGTCTCCAGGATCACGCCCTGGGCCAAAGGCAGGCGCCAAACCGCTGTGCCACCCAGGGATCCCTCAGTTATTATTTCTTTAAGTAAATTTTCTGCCTCCTTTTTTCTTTCTTTCTCCTTCTGGAACCCCCCATAATGTGAATGTCATTATGCTTGATAGTATAAGAGTTAAGTCAATTTTTATTTGGGATATATATTTTGTGTATGTGTGTGGGTGTATATATATATATATATATATATATATAATTTTAAAAGATTTTATTTATTTATTCATGAGAGGCACAGAGAGAGAGAGAGAGGCAGAGACACAGGCAGAGGGAGAAGCAGGCTCCACGCAGGGAGCCTGATGCAGGACTGATCCTGGATCTCCAGGATCACACCCTGGGCTGAAGGAGGCGCTAAATTGCTGGGCCACCAGGGCTGCCCTGTATATATATTTTGTATATATTATTTTGTATGTATATATTTCTTTTCACTTGCTCAGCTTGATTGCTTTCCATTGCTCTGTGTTCCAGGTCACTGACCTGTTCTTCTCCTTCCTTTTAGTCTATTCCATCTAATGTGGTTTTCATTTCATTTATTGAGTTCTTCATCTCTGATTGGTTCTTTTTAATGTTTTCTATCTCCTTGCTAAGAGCCTCAGTGAGGTCCTACACTCTTAAGTCCAGTATCTTCATGATCATTACTTGAAATTCTTTGTTAGGCATATTACTCACCTCCATTTCACTTAGGTCTCTCTTGCTGTGATTTTTGTCCTTTTCTTTCACTTGGGGTATATTCCCATCCCCTCATTTTGTCTATGTCTGTTTCTGTGTTAGGAAAGTCAGCTATGTCTCCTACTTGAAAGTAGTGGACTTAAAGAAGTTCCAGGGGCACCTGGGTGGCTCAGTGGTTGAGCATATGCCTTTGGCTCAGGTCATGATCCTGGGGTCCTGGGATTGAGTCCCGCATCAGGCTCCTCATAATTGAGCCTGCTTCTCCCACTGCCTGTCTCTGCCTCTCTCTCTCATGAATAAATAAATCAATCTTAAAAAAAAATGATTCTGTAGTACTCTGCAGTACAATGTCCCCTGCTCACCAGAACTTGGTGCTTCAAGGGTGTCTCCTTTTTCTTTTCTTTTTTTTATTTTATTTTTTATTTTATCTTATTTTATTTTTTAAAAGATTTTATTTATTTATTCATGATAGACATAGAGAGAGAGGCAGAGACACAGGCAGAGGGAGAAGCAGGCTCCACACAGGGAGCCCGACGCGGGACACGATCCCGGGACTCCAGGATCGTGCCCTGGGCCAAAGGCAGGCACTAAACCGCTGAGCCACCCAGGGATCTCCCCCTTTTTCTTTTTAAAAAGACTTTATGTATTTATGTATGTATTTAGAGAACACAAGCAGGGGGAGGGGCAGAGAATCTCAGGCAGACTCTGCACTGAGTGTGGAGTCTGATGCAGGCCTCAATCTCATGACCCTGAGATCGTGACCTGAGTCAGTCAAGAGTCAGGTGCCCAACCAACTGAGCGATCCATGTGCTCCTCGAGAGCATCTCCTGTGTGTGTTGCATGGAGCCTACTTTTGTCACTGAGCATCTTCTCTCCAGTCCAGTCATCTGCAGTGGCTCTCTTTGCCCTGTTGTGGGCAGAGTTTGGTCCCTCTACTGTTAGTGGACCAGTGTGGGGCTGTCTGGGGCCAGAGTTCAGTCAGACCAGATGTTTGCCAGAGATGTAGTATCACCAAACTATAGGGCACTCTCCCTGTGTTGTCCCTGAGGTTTTGTTGTTGGGTGGGGCTTGTTGTCAGAACAGAGGTCTGCAGCCTGACTGGTGGTTTATGGTTATTTTTCCCTCTCCCTGGGGCAGGAGCCTCTTTGGAATGGTGCTGGATCTTGTCTGGGCTGCGTGCACAGTGTGTGGCTTGTGACACCGCTTTGGATGGGCTCCTGCCAAGAGTGTCTTGGAGGGTGTAGATCTACAAAGTGTGCTGGGCAGGATGTGCAGTGTTTGCAAGGTTTGTGTGCCAGTCCTCTGCAGGAGGGGACCTGCAGCCACGGGGAGGGGTGGGGGTGGGGGATGGGACCAAGGCTGGCTGGTGGAAGGGGCAGATCTGCATGGGGGTAGGATGTAAGGTGCTTGCAAGGTTTGCAGACTCCTGGGATAAGGGACTGGCATCCCTGGGACTGAGGCAGGACTGGCTGGAGGAGATCGATCTGCCAAAGTGCAGGGAGTGGGGTGGGGTGTCAGCAAGTTAGATAGTGAAGATCAGCTGGCTGGTTCCTGCAGGCGGCTGTGTATTGATGCTGGGGGGCAGGGGCGGGGGCAGGGGGCCGGGGCAGGAAATGGCATCTGGCAGCTCCTTTGTTCCTGGGAGTATCCCGATAACCTCTGCCCCTCCTGCCCATGCTCTGAGATTAGTAACTCTGCCCCTGTATGTCCAGGTCACTACCTCCCTGGGCTGTTTGTTGTGCTGCCTCTTTAAGGGTGGGGACTCTGGTTCCTGTTGACCCTCCAGACTCCAAGAGCCAAGCTGGCTGATTTTAAGGTCATAAGAACTTGTGAAATTCGGCCCTTCTAGTTTTCAAAGCAAGATGTCATGGGGATTCATCCTCCCCACGGGGGCTCCCTGGTGTGATGGTCTGTTTCTCTCCCGTGGACAGCTGTCATCTGTTTGGTCTCATTTCTGCATTTATAGTTGTGGAGTTTGTCTTTGGCTTGTTTGCACTGATGTGAGCATTATCGAGTTGTGTCTGTGGGGCATGGGGTGGGGAAAGTTGTCAAAGGCAGGCAAACAATTCTTTTTACAGAGTAGAACCTATAAGCAAAGGACAATTTTACTGCACTGATATGACTGGAAATAGTTTTGATTCCAGGCCCAAATCCCGCTTCACGGGATTTGCTTCACGGGATTTGCTTCACGGCTGGCCTGTCACCCCTGGGTTTTGTGTCTGAGCCCCAGGAAAAGGCCTCTGAGGAGCCACTGAGTGCTTACAAGTTCTCTCTGGGGAGAGGGCTCTTCTTCGAGTGTGGGGGTACCCTGTTATCAGGAGCCCTGAATGTCTTGGGATGCTCTCCAGGAAGCCCGTGGGGACAAAATAGGATATGGCAACATCAAGACTTAAAGGACATTTATTTTTTGAAAGGGTGGAGGGGACTTTACAAGTAGAGTCTGAAGCCAATAACTAGAGAGGAAGATAAATAAAATACAAAGCCAGTATGTTGTGGCAAAATCCCAGAAAACACACTGAAAAAATTTTTTACAGTTTTACTGTAAAACTGCTTTACTTTATACATAATTACAAATTAATATACAGCATTTGGGTTTTAACCCCTTTTTATTTAAAAGAACCTAGCACAGAAACGTTCATCTAGCATTTGAAAACAACAAAAGCAGAGGTATAAGGTGTACGGTAATTGCCCTCCTGCAGGTCCGGGCGTGTCCCACGCTCCCAGTGGGCAAGGAACACAGAAAACCACAGGCTGAACCGTGACCATGGGCAAGCTGACTGGGCGGGCCCCTGGAAGGTGGCTGCAGAAGGCAGGAGAGCTCAAGCTGGGTGAGGCTCTGGGGTGGAGAGGCTGGGCCGGGGTGGGGGTGGGGGGCAGTGCCCTCTGCTTTGCAGCAGGGAGGAGCTCCCCCAGCATAGGCCGGGTGTGCGGAGCAGGGTGTCATGTCTGTGGCTGGAGGACTAGAGCCAGCAGGGTTTGCCCGGCTTTAAACCTTAGCAAGATGGAGAATTAATTCAATTCAATTCAATTGCAGGCCTGTCAATCTTTTGACAAATTAAATTAGTTAAGTAGAAGGAAAGAAGCCTTTTTGTTTTTTCCCTTCTTTTTTTGTTTTTATTCTTACGGCAGCATTAAAATACTTTTCACTTTAAAACCTGGCCAGCAGGCAGTAGATTCCAAAGCTCTGGTTAACTAGGAATGTTAGGCTACATTGGAAGAAAAACGAAGACAGACACAAACCACAACAAACTCTTTGCCCTCCTCTTCGTCTCTGCCTGTCAATGAGCAATAGCATGGGGCTGGCGCCCAGGCCTGCAGCACCAGCATGTATGTCCAGACAGAAGGTGGGTGGGCAAGGCACACACGTCTCTCAACCACCATCTGACCCTAAAGGGCTGCTTGGGCTTCCACATTCTAAGGGTATCCAAGCCACCCTGGGGACGGCCACTCACCAAGACAGCATCTCCAACCCCCTCCCAGGTGGGGCTGGCCCGGGCACAAGTGGCCACCAACACTGCAGTGGACTGCCACCCCCCAGCAAATAACAGAATCCTCAGGAAGAACTGGCTCTGGAAAAGCTGCCTCAGAGGCCAAGTGGTGAAACAGCAAGTACTTCTGTGAGGAGCAACTCGTGGATGATGTCCTGGCCTCCTGGGTAGGTTCTGCCTCCCGTCACCCTGCACCCCACTCCAGCTCCCTCCCCGGAAAGGTACAACAAACCCCAAGGGTCTGAACAATTTGGGCTGAGGAAGAGAATAAGAGAAACATTCTCTTCTCAAAGGGACTTGAGTGGTGCTACCCTGAGACAGAAGGCGGAAAAAGGTAAGATTCGTACCTTTTCAAAAAAAAAAAAAAAAAAAATCTTGATGAGGCACAGATCACTCTCGTGGGGGCGGAGAATGGAATGTTGGCAAAGGCTGGATTATGGCGATCTGCATGCTTTTAACCCTCTCGTTTTCAAAGAAGGAAACAGTTACCACAGCTGATTGTCTCAAAAATGAAGCCAACAGACGAGAGCATTTAAAGTGCACGTGTCACCCAAACAGGATGACCACTTCTGAGATGATAGACTGAGAAGATGCAGCCTCTTTCCAGGAAATTCCCTTGACTCTGGGAACTTGGGGACTCTTGGCTAGTGTCTCTACCTGACCCCCAAAACTCAACCACACCGTCAAGCATCTGATTTCTTGAGCTTGCTGGAAGATACAATGGGGAACTGAATCTGAGTCACCCTGGCAGACGACCCCTTCTCACAGGGAGACCCAGACGGGGCTTTAGACTCAGTAACCAGAGCGGTTTTCAAGGTCACAAGCACAAGTAACAACAACCCAGGTAGCTCTCCAAGCACAATGGGAGGTCCCCCGGATCCAGTCTCCTGGGGGTGAGAGGGGAAAGGCAAGTCAGAGCACGGGTCTTACTAAGTAGTTGTCTCTTCCTACGGCAGCCTGGATTCTGAATGGAGGTGGCCAGATGGGGTGGATGCAGGAAGCTACTTTCTAATTACGATTCTACATTTGTCCAGCCAGAACCTGACCAAATTAAATTACTGGGGTGTGGGTGCAGGCGAGGTCTCCATTTAAAAAAAACAAAAAAAACCACCATCGCCCCAACCAAAGCCACTTAAACGTTATAGCTAGTTGAGAGTAAAAGACACTTTCAAATTGCCATCAAGCTAGGCAGCAGTGGACAGCGACCCAGGGTCCAGAGCACTCTTGTGGAGAGCAGACGTGGGGGCTGATGTGGTCAGCTCTGAGCCCTTCCTGCCGCAGGCTCAGGAAACAGGGTGGCCCAGCTGCCAGGCTTCGAGTGCCCGGAGCCATCCTCTCTGGCCAGCCATCTCCTCTGACAGCACACGTCCAGTGGGACGGCAAGCCCCAGTGGGGAGCTGGGATTGGTGCCCAAGAGAGCTGGGCACTGTGTGAATCTGAGGAAAACCATGGCAGGCTCTGCTGGACTGATGCAAGAAAGGAACTTAACTGTACTGTTTAGGGGTGGGTGGAGGGGAATCAGAGTTCAAAAGACCATTAGCCAGTTTTGGTCTTAAAGTCTGTTTCTGAAGACTAAGAAATCTCCACAATAGGAATAGGTGATTAACTCAGAGGTGGCAGGTTCTGACTCTCCAGTAAGGAAGATGACATCCTTTGATCAGATAATGAGGTGGGGATGAGAGGAGAGAAGAAAAGCATCCCCCTTCCCTAACCATTAATTTTCTTTTGGGCCCTCAAAGCACTTTGACAGACACCGAGGAGTGAGCAGCACTGTTGGCTATTCACTTTCTGCATTGATCAGATGGTTGAAACCGTTGGGCTAGTATGTTCACTTACACCCACACACACACACACACACACACACCACACACACACACACAAATAAATAAACAAACCTAACCTAAAAATGTTAAACCAGACCTCTTTCAAATAAACTGAAAGATAAATATCTCCATCTGCAAGGCCAGCTTGCAATTCATCAACAAGCACCAAGTTACAGATTTTGTTTAAGAAGTATGTTCAAAGACCCATGCTTCTGAGGGGCAGGACCCGGGGCATAATTAAAGCAGACTTTTCCAGGGTCTCCCCTTACAGGGAGCAGTGAGTCCAACAGGGAGATGGGGCCTCAGAGGAACTCAATGAACGGTCCTGCTCCTACTAGCCGGTGACGAGCCTCCAGCAAATACAGATCACCAACAGTGTGGAAGAGAGGAAGAGAGGAAGAGAAGAGTAACCAGGCCGCATCTGTGGCACCATCAGGGGGTGGAGTACAATAACCAACAGACCTTTAGATTCGAAAAATGTTTGAAGAAATCGAATTGTGCCCCAGCCTCCTGATAGAGGATGAGCACATTTCCAAGCCACACCTGGGCCAGCTATCGATCGGGCTGCACTAATGTAAAAATTACTACCTGTGGTCCAAATTCCTTCACCTGAACTGACATGGCCAGCTGTCCTGGTACTGGGGTGGGGACCACCTCAGTGCCGGAGAAGCAACTTCCCTTGGCGTGCTGCCAGGAGGCTGCGAGTCAGTGACAACCAGAAAGTGTCACAAGGCAGGAGTAGGGATGAGGAGATTCTCTACTTCATCTCTGCCCAGAGTATGCGGGCAAACATCCTGGAAAACCAGTAAGTGTAAGATTTCTTTGGATTTCATGTTAAAACTAGATTTTTTTTTTTAAATGACAAACACCCAAATCAAGGTGGTACAGATTATATATACACACATATGCTTTTTAAACATGTCATGCCTTTTCTCACTGGTTTTCACAAATGTTTGCTATCGCTTCTAAAATGAAATGAGAAATACTTGCAGAAAGGGGTGTGTGCACAGAGTAGGGTTATAGGAAAGCCGCCTTGGAGGGCTAGGGGATGACTGCTGAGTGCCTGCGTGTCCTCCAGGCAGGGCGGGGCAGCACCTCCTACAGATGGTGCCTGATTCTGGTATGCCCCATGGGTATATGCAGACGGGTAACTATGTACACAGACCAAGTCCAAATTATCTGCTGCTGCTTGACTGTTGCTTGTCTCCCGCAAATAAAAGGCAGGTAGAATTTTAGACCTTATTTGGAAACTTCTTTCAGCCTTTAGAAATTCCTGACATGTCTGAAACCATCACCTGGACTTCTGGGACCACCTACTTTCAGTGTAACACCCTCAGTAGGGCCAGCCCCAATCTGGGAGCTGTGAGCAGCCACTGAATCCTGGTCCCCTGCCCCACCCTGACATTAGAGACCGTTTGTCACTCTGGTCCAGGACCTGGGGCAGCATGGGTGTCCAAGGTAAGAGACCACACCCAGAAACAGCAGGAGAGGTGGGGCTGGTAACCACGGGCCAGGACAGGAGGTGGTGGCCCTGGCAGAGGGCAGCGTCAGCAGAAGATCTCTTCACCCTCTGCGGGTACTTCTGACCCGGGGCCATCTGGTAAAGGAGAAACCACGGAGAAAGAACTTCAGAAAACAATTGTTCTTTTCACTGAACTCTCTTCCCTTTCTCCTCAACCCCAGTCTTCTGGGATGCAACCAGTGATGGCCTGGTAGGCAACCCACCCCTTCTCCAGGCCAGGGTTCCTTAACTGGTTTAGTAAATGAGGTCCTCTGGCACCCTTCACTGTCACTTGACAAAGCACCAGACTTCCTATTCACAAACAGGCCCAGAGACAAGCTGCTCTCCTGCACAAAGCAGAGGGAGCAATCCTAATGAGAAGGAACAGAGGAAGGACTTTGGGGAAAGTGGTGCCCAAACTGGGAACCTCAGTTAGTGGGGTTTAATCACAAGCTCTGTGCTGGCAAGCACAACTGTTGGTCTCTCTGAACTTCCATTTCCTAGTTTCTCTTGGGCTTAGCATCACCTGCTTCACACAGCCAGCTCCTGGAAGTGCTCACTAAGTACGAGCTCTACTGGTGACTGGACCAGCCCTACAGGGAAGCAGGGAGACTTTAGTCTTCATCTGGGTCCCTCAGTTGGGGAACAGATGCCTGGAATATGAGACCTGCACACTCTCCTGGGCACACGTGTGCACAAGGGGGGAGGATGTCTTAAATGACCATAGAGTTGGTATTCCAGGTGTGAGTCCCAGCAGCCTTCACAGGCAAAGCAAGTGCGCCTGGCAAGACAGCACACACCTGAATGGCCCCAATTTAACCATCCCCATGCTATGGAAACCTGCCCACCCTTCAAGATCTGGGGGCAATGGGGCTGGAGGGGACCTGGCGTGGGTAACTCACCACAGGGCTGAGAGCGGCTGCCTTTGTTCTTCTTCTTTTTCTCCTTCTTTTCCTTTGGCTTAGCTAACCCAAACAGGCGGGTGGAGGCAGAGGCAGGTACTGGGGTCTGGTTCTGACCCTCGGGTACTTTGTTTGTCTGGCTGGTGGAACTCAGTATGTGAAAAGGCCCCTTATCTTTGTGTGTCCGAGAGATGCTGTTCCTTTTTGGGGATACTGAGAGTTCTGAGTCCAGGGATCCTGATTTGGCTATCGAAGGTACAGATGGCATGGGGGGCTCCTCAGGATTCGGAAAGAAGGATGGGATCCTCAGCAGCTTAGTATGTTGATATGACACCTGCACATGTTCCAAACGAGGTTTTAAGTAAGGTGCCAATGGGATTCCCAGTGCCCACTCACTAAATGCTGGCTGAGGTCAACTGGGGAGTTTCAGCCTGGTGTGCACCCACTTCCTTGGACACCTTGGCACTCACAGTATAAGGATTCAGGACGTCTTGACTAGCTACTCCTCCCTGCCCCAAGTAGTACCTGGGAAAGCATTACAATTATTAGTTTTGATACCATTATTAATTTTATTACATGTACTTAATGTCAGCAGCAGCAGAAAGAATTAATTTATCTTGGATGACGCAGCTTAGTAAAGAACTCCCATTCCTGAAGAAACAGGAGAGATGTTTGGGTGAAGACTGAATCACACAGGGCCATGGAGAATTATTTCAGGGCTGAGGGACGATGGGAGCCTGTCAGGTTAAGAGGGTGGTAGGGAGTCAGAGGTGAAACCAGGTAGAGGAGCATCATCAGATCTGTGGTGTTCCATGCAGGGGTGTTGCAGGGAGGGGCTTCTGAGTTATTGGGATGCGGATGGAATCCATCCTGTCTTGAAGAGCATCATGCAGAGCCCATTCCTGCTCCCACCCTATACCTCAAACACCTCTGTGGGAAGCTAACCTGCTTCTCTGCTAACCTATTTCATCCCTGGAAGATGGCAACACCAGACCAGTGCCAACAGACAGGCAGTTCAGTCACAGGTATCCATGTTCCCCAAATGCCCGCAGAACACCCATGGCCTAAGCTCAGAGAGGGCGGGGGCTCGCCCCCCCCCCCACAGACCCCGGTGCCCCTGTCCCCACCAACCCCGTCCAGGCTAAGCAAGCTCCGGGAGCACCCCCTTCACCCGTTCCAGTGCCTCACCTGACATGCGTCGTGCTCCACCTGCCTTTGGCTGAGTCGCTCAGCATCCCGCTTCAGCTGCTCCTGCTCACGCTCCAGCTGCTTCTGGGCTGCGCGGAGCCTCTCCAGGTCACACTGGTAGGCACCCTTCTTGTGCTGCAGCTCCTCCCGCTCACGGTCAAGGTCTTGCTGGCCACGCCACACATCCTGCTCACGCTGCGCCAGCCGGGCCTCACGCTCCTGCAGTGCTCTCTCGCGGGCCTCCCACTCGCGCTCGCGCCGCCGCTTCTCCTCCAGGTGCTGTGCCTGCTGCTTCTGCAGGTTGGCCAGGTCCTGGCGCTGCTTCTCCAGGCTGCGCTGCTTTTCCTGCTCCACCAGGGAGCTGGGGCGCGATGAACTCCGGGTGAGTGCACGCTCTGCCAGCAGCAGCTTCTGGTCCTCGATGTAGCTGTCCTGCTGCAGCACCACGCCCTGGGCAGGGGCAAGAGAAGTAGGGAGGTGTGACTGGCCCTACCCCTAGTCCAGCCCCGGGCTCAGGACAGCCTACAATTCCCCCTCACTTTTTAGGCCAGTCTGGTCAGAGTGTTCCACTACAACCTTGGAGCCAAGTGCCCGCCCCTTGGGGCACTTCTCATGCAGGAATGTCAACTGTGTGGGGACCGAGTCTTGTTACACTTGGTCACACACTGTTGACACTGCCTGGGGTGGAGACTGTATGTGTTCTGGAGGTGTGAGGAAGTGGGAACTGGATAATGTTATAGCTTGCAGAAAGGAAATGGGCAGAATTTAAGGATAATTCCCAGAAAGTATTAGATAGCAGTTATTTGAGGAGGGCTTCCCTATCCACATACTACGCAGCCATTTTGAAACTTAAAATCATGCTAAAGCCTTTCTGGACAGAAAACATCCAAACCATGTTTAGCACTTTATGGGGTTTGCCCTAGGGTTATCTACAGCACCTATGTATAGTCTACTATCATCAATCATCAGTTCTTAGAAGGTCAGTGACGCTCTAAGCACTGCATCTTATACCCTTTCTCATCCTGACAGCTAGCCTTGTCTTGACTGAAGGCTCCATTTTACCTATGAGCAGCCCACATACCTCAAAGATCCAGGCCAACAATACCCTTAACAATTTTTCTTGAAACGAATGAGTGAAAGGATAAAAGAGAAAGGCCCATACCTGCAATGTGCTTAGGAGTTCGTGGAGATGAATGACACTCTGGACAAGTTGCTGCAAAAGCAAGGAATGGAAACATTACCTCAGACCAGAGTCTCAGAACCCACCACACCATGTCCTGTCTGGCAACATAAGCCCCTGAACACACAGCAAGGAGCCTGCATCTGAATGCAATGTTTCTATACTGAAAGCACCAAAAAGAATAAGCAGGTACAAATGTCCAAGAGATACACAACAAAATCAAGCCAACCAAACGACGGTGTAGGAGGGCCATCAGCACACATAGAAAGGCATTGTAAAGCTCCAATTCTCTAAGATTACTGGCATAAAAATGACGTGCACACCATTGTAACAGAACAGAAAGCCCTGAGCAAACCACAAGAAGTTAGTGTATAATTAGCATTCCTGAATCACTGGGGAAGGAAAGAATATTCAACAAATTGTTCTCAGAAAATGGATAAATCTTTGGAAAAAATTAAGTTGGGATCCTGGCTCACACAAAAAATATTCAAACAGATTTAAAAGGTTGAGTGTAAAAAAAAGAATCATAAGAGAGTAAGAAAATATGAGAATGTCTTCTCATGATGAAACAGAGACTTTTTGAAGAATCAATGCAAGAAATCACAGATGCACCAAGTGTCACTATATGAAATATAAAATTAAAACATGTAATGCAGGGACACTCAAAGCCAAATGAAAAAAGGCTCCTGTGGATCAACGAGAAACAAATAACCTAGTAAGAAAACAGGCAACACAAACCAGCAATTTGTAAAAGAGATATAAATGGCCAATTATATGACCTATAAAAAATGATTCACCTTTATTTGAAATTAAACAGATGAAAAATAAAATACCACTTGAACTTATGAAACCAACAAAATGTCAGTTACAAGTGGACTGTTCCCAATGCTGGTGAAAGCAAGGACAGACTTGTGTGGAGGGAAGGGGAGCACACCATGAGTATTTCTCTCTCGAGTGCAGTAGCGCCGCACAGAGCTGTTTTTGCTGCATTAAATTCCACACACAAACTAGAGGAAGAACTGAATGATGGCATACAACATAACATGCAACTGTTAAAGAGCATGTGTGTACAAATCTGCTCTGGGGAAATGCTTCTAATGTGTGTTAGGAGAAAAAAGGACACAAAGCTCCAGAGAGTATTTGGTATAAGTTGTACAGAACTATTTTTGTACTAGTCATACCCACACAAACTTATACATTTAAATAAATACATGTTGTGCAGAAGAAAAGGCTGGAAACATAAATACCAAACATTTAACAGCAGTTATTTCTCAGTGGTGGGATCATTTTATTCTTTTTTTCATGATTGGACATTTTTCAAACTTTCTACTATGACCACATATTTCTTTTATAATACAGCTCACCTATGAACAATGCAGGGGTTGGGGCAGCAGTTCCCTTGCACCGTAGAAAATCCACCTATAACTTCTGACTCCTAGCACTTTACTAACAGCTACTGTTGACCCAAAGTTTTACCCATAACATAGCTGATTAACATATATTTGGTACGTTATAGGTATTACATGCTGTATTCTTATAAAAGTAGGCTAGAAGAGAACGTTACTAAAAAAATCAAAAGGAAAACATATTTATAGCACTGCACTATATTTGTCAGAAAAAACCTATTAAGTGGGCCCATGCAATTCAAGGATCAACTGTACTTAGAACAAAACACACAAAAAATTATTAGGCTTATAGCCCTTCTGAGAACACAGTTTTTACTCCTCTTTTCAGTTTATTCTGACAGTGGCTCGTGGTCCACAGAGTGTTATCCTCACTAGAGTGCCTGAAATGCCCCGGTCTGGTAGTTTCTTACCCAACCCTTGTCACAAAATACAGGGGAAGAAGTTACCAAAGAGAAAAATAAGAGCGAAATTTCATTGGAGCAGCAGGTACAGAGAATGACAGTCTGTGTGAGAGTAAGTTTATTTCATTTAAGGAAAGCACACCAAAGGGGAGGCCTTCAGAAAACCATGTGTTTTTACACTTCCATGCCAACAAGTTTTGGGGGGGGGGGGGGGAAGGGGAAGTTCCCTTTAATTAAAAATTTTAAAACCATGTTCGTCAGGGACTTAAGATATTATGTTAAAAGCAAGAAGAAACTCAAGAGCCTGGGTGGCTCAGTGGTTGAGCATCTGCCTTGGGCTCAGAGTGTGACACAGGGTCCTAGGATCAAGTCTCACATCAGGCTCCCTACATGGAACTTGCTTCTCCCTCTGCCTCTGCCTCTCTGTTTCTCTCATGAATAAATAAATAAATAAATATATTTTTAAAGTAAGAAGAAACTCAAGAGCACCCAGAGAGGGGCACCCCATAAAGCCACTGTCATTTGTTGTCTAACTCCGGTTGGCTGACAAGCATTCTAGTCGATCAGAGCCAAGCAAGTGTGGAGAGGGTGGCGGCCTAGAACAGGATTTGCAGGGAAGAGGAACAGATTTGCAGGGAAAAGGCAGGAAGAGGGGACCAGAGCCAGAGAGGCACAGCTCCCAGCAGGGTGGGCAGAACTGAACCCACGAAGGGAAGGAAGATCCCCTCTCCCATAAGAGCAGTGACACCACTCTGTGCGTGACACAGAGGGACATGCAGCGAGTGAAAAGCAGCACTCAAAGAAAACGCAACTTGAGTCATTGCAGGACAGGATATTACTGCGCAGTTACCTACAGGGGAGGTGCCATGGTCCATAGAGCCAGGCTTATGTGACCCTGCATGTTTCCAGAGAGCAAGAGGCCTGCTTCTCCAGGATGGAGAAGTCTGGAGCAATCCGAGGCTGAGGCCCCGGGGCCAGGGAACAGCCAGGTAAATGGAAGTGGCAACCGCACGGTTAAGTGCACAGATCAAGGCCAGGAGTCAGCTTGTTCATAACAGCAAAACACAAATAAGCATCCTCAGCCTAGCAATTATAACAAAATCCTTTTCTTATACATAGCTCGTAATGCCCTTACCTCACTGTTTCTTTTAAGCATAAATACCAGGTTAGCATTTCCACCCTATAAAACAAAAAACATGCATTTAAAAGAAAAAGAAAAAGATGATCCTGGGGCAAAAATAATATTCAATGTGTGTCTGTTATGCTTGGGCTTCTCATTTTTACTCTTTTCCAGCACAGCCTCCTGCTGCAGGATAATGAAGATTTGAGGCTGGACTTAACTGACACCCCTGAAGAGTCGAGGCTGGTATGGGCCACTGACACAAAGCTCCTGATGTTGGGGCCGCAGGGGGAGCCACGAACGTAAAGTAAACTCAGGGTTCTGAGCCTGAGAGGTCAAAGGGCCAGTGATATGGTACTTTTAATTGTAGGGTTTCTTTAAAAATGTGTTTTTCTCTTAAAGTAGGAATTAACAGCAAGTCAGGCATCCAAAATAAGATTCCAGTGGATTAACTGCAAAGTCTATGGATGTAGAGGGAAGTGCCAAGGATGTCTTGGGTGGTGCATTTTAGAAAAATACCTTTTTCAGACCACTGTCGGATTCTGTTCTCCTCAGATCTTGGCCATCCTCTCCCTCTTCCTTCTCACCTCCTGAAACAAACAAGTTTTTGTTTTGTTTTGAATAAAGCTGTGGAACAGATTAACCAATAAAAGCATACAAAATATATAGCTTAGAGATATGGTGGTAATCCTACATCTTATTATTGTCAAAAAGGGGGAAGCCGCTTGGTGGCAGCTAAGTGATTAAGAATTTTGTGGCCGCAGAAGAATTAGAAGCAGAAAGGAAAAATGAGTATCATTACTCTTTTGGCCACAGCTTACCAGAGATCCCAGGAAATTGTTTTTTATTATTAAAAGTAAGCATGACACTGATAGAGATTCTTGAGTGTTCTAGCAGCTAGCTACTAAATGAGCTTTCACTAAAACTTCTACTGACTGGGACAGAGGAGATGCAGCTACCAGAATGAGCACATTTTTGGTTGTGTGTGATAGTCTACAGAAGGATCATCTACAGAAGTATGGGTTCTAAATCATTTATCCTTTTTTTTCCGCCTTAAAGTAAGCTCTAGGCCCAAGGTGAGCCTTGAACTCACAACCCTGAGAGCAAAAGCCGCATGCTCTACTGACTACTAAGACAGCCAGGCGCTCCTAAATCATTTACCTTTTGAGGCATTCATCTGATGGCTGTCAAATCCTCCGAAGGTCTCTGCTCTCCGAGGCAAGGAAACAGGGCCAACTATGCCTTCTTGCTCAACAGGGCTACTGACAGCCGGCCCGAGTGTGCCTCCCAGGCTTCCACTCACCAAACCTTGAAGGATCTCCACTGGAAAAAAGGAAATGTGCAAAAGTGATATTTCACCTTCCACTGAGAAAAAGAAAATATCATGGTAATACATGATATGTAGGGAGCATGATCAGAAAATTCCAGAGGGACTCAGTGACGTTCTTCGCTCAGAGAAAGGTTTCAGCTCTGGATTCTATTGGGAAATTCAGAGGAAGCCTTCAGTCTTATTTACATGGGGCTGAGGAAATTTGAAAGGGCACAGGGAAGATAGTCATTTACTGGAAGGAGCATGGCCTTCTAGAGTCAGGCCCAAAGTAGCAAAAAAGAATTCCTGGGGAAGCAAGATGGGCCAATTTGAGAGCAGTGCTGAAACTGGCAGGGTTTTTGCCCGCTGGCACAGTGAGTTCAAGGGACCAGAGTAATCTAAGGATCTGAGGTCTCAAATCTGAGCAGTGAGGCTTCTCTTCTAGAGCAGTGTCCCACAGAAAGGAGAAAGCGCTAAAAGTGGAATAAAATTAGAGTCCTGTGAAGTGAGAAAAGATATCTGAACTTAAAAACTTAGGAAAGTATTTCATGTAAAAATGAGCAACTGGGAAACATCAAAGTCAAATCTCACACAACACTATGGAAAAAGAGAGCAAGAAAAAGAGACTCCATTCCCTGCATGGACTGGTAACAGCACATCAGAAAGACAGGTCCGTGCAGTGGATGAGCTACTTACTGTATGGAGAGGACACAGGCATGGAGGGACCCAGGGCAGAATCAGGACACACAGATTCCAAGAAGTGGGAACAAAGAGAAACAATTATTTTAGAAAGGAAAACTAGAAGACAAGAGAAAAATAAACCCAACAGAAAATGACTTACCAGAGGTGGGAGGAAGATTAAACATTAAAAAGATGAACAGAGAGAAAGTGTGAAGGGACCAGCACATATGGAGGACAGGCAGAGGGGATCCAGCATGTGGGTGATGGGAGCTCTTGAAGAAGAAAATCAAAACGAGGACAGAGGAAAAAATACTAAAAGCTTTAAATGAAGAATATTTTTCTGAACTCTGAAACCACATCAAATTAGAGCACTGTGAACCTAAGAGCATCGATCCAGAACAACCCCAACACTAAGGCATGTGCCAGTAAAACTACCTGGATTTCCAAATAGCTCTTGGGAACCTAGGCAGAAAGCATGTGACTTACACAAACTGAATCGAGTTAGGATCGTATGTGGACAGCAACGCTTTACATCAGAAAAAAAGGAAGGACATTATTTAAGAACAATAAAGATACCCAAGGGAAGAAAGAGTGAACCAAGGAATCCATATCCCACAGAGCAGACTTTCAAGTTTGCGTACCACAATTATCAACAGCGTGCATGGATACAGGGCACACTGTCCTCACATGCCTCACTCCTGAGACATCTACTTAAAGGATGAGCTTCAGACATCCAAAATGACAAACGATGTCATGAAAACCCCAGCAGCAATGACCATCCCTATTGCCCAGACTGTGGTCTTAAAATATCATTTCCCACTAAAAGAAGTAAGAGTTCCTTAGAGAAATGACTCTAGATCTGGGCAGAGAACAAGACGAGTCTAGAACATCTTAATTTATCAAAGAGCATCGAAGCTCTCAGAAACTCTTGGGATCATGACAGAAGCACCTGGGAGCCAGACAGAGAGGTGCTAGTTGGCAAATAGAGGATATTCTGAACGTTTACGTAAGGATAAGAATTGTAGGGACTTGAAAAACATCAAACAAGTTTACACTCATAAGTCTATATAGTAATATCTAAAAAGTACTGGTCACCTTTAGAGGATGACCATGGAACAATTCACTATCCTGATAACTGGTAAATAAAGGGGGAAAAATAAAATATTTATCCTTTTATTTTCCCTTTCCTCTAGGCTACAAAGGAGGAGGCAGCTAGCAAAGCTATCTTGTACCTCCAAAAGAGGAGCACAACACTCCAAGAACACAGCTTACCACAGGGATCAAGGCTCAGTAATTAAGACTGAATCCAGCTGCAATTCTGAAAGAACTAGCAACAGAACAGAACCCCTGCATGAACAAAAGCTGGACTGTGAGAGACATTCTAGGTCAAAAAGCTCAGATTCTTCAAAGATAAATTGTGTGGAAAAGAAAGGGATGGTGGGGAGGCCAGGAAATTAGGAATCCGAAAAAGCCTATGAAAAAAATACTAGTTTTTATGGTGTCTACACATAGGCCGTTAGCCACAGAACTGTATGGAAACGTGTAAGTCACAGCACCCGTTCCTTTTTAGAGGGAGGGAGGGAACGTATGGAAGGGCTTTGGGGTGTCTGGCCACATTTTATTTCTGGACCCATGTAGTAGTCACAAGGAAGTTCCCCTGATAATAATTTACTAAACAAAATATTTGTTTTGGGTTGTTTTCTGTATTTGTGCTTTATTTTACAATAGAAAAGTAAAAACTAGTAAATACTATTAGTGCATAAAGCACTTTGGGAAGAGATTAAGAGGGGCAGTTACCCTCGTTTATTGCACTTTTCATTAAAGGTCCTCCTTTGAGAGCCTCTTCTGTGTTGGAGCGGAAGAGGATTCTAGAACTGTGAGTTGGGGAGCAATCCTCCGGCAAGGGGGTGCTGCACTCAGTCATGTCTCGGAAAATCATCTCCTTCTCTTCCAGTAAGAGGAGGATCTGCTGGTCCTTCTGCTGAAGTTGCTCTGCAAGGGGGAATGGAGAAAAGGTCTGGTGACTCTAAGGGTGTTTAGTAAGAGATGAGTGGGACACAAATGCCACCTTGTGGCCACTGGTAGGACAACAGAGAACACAGCTGCACCTCCCCCTCCCCCCCAAGATGGCAATTTCCATCCCACATCTTTGGAGACAAAATCAGAATTTGTGACATAAGAAGCCTTCCTTTGTTTCCACTCCCCTACCTCCTGTTTACTTCTCAACCCACTCTTGTCTGCAGCTGCTCTTTCCAAGGCTACCCTTCATTACTCATCCAATGAGGCCTGTGTTTCATCTTTTCCAGCATGGAGGATTCCGCTCTATTTTTTTTTTTTTTAAGATTTTTTCTTTTTCTTTTCTCTTTCTCTCTCTCTCTCTCCTTCCTCCCCGCCCCCCCCCACCTACCTACCACACGAGCGTGGAAAGGGGCAGAGGGAGAGGGAGAGAATCTTCAGCAGACTCCCTGATGAGTGAACAGCCTGACACAGGACTTGATCTCATGACCCTGACATCATGACCTGAGCTGAAATCAAGAGTTAGACACTGAACCGACTGAGTCACCCAGGCACCTCTCCTCCCTCCTTTCAAACCCTTTACGCCCCTCACTTGGAGGACATCATTGGTTTCTCTTGCTGCCATCTTCAGTGAGTAACACCTAGGGTTCTCTCTTGGCTCCATCCTGGGCGGTCTCCTACACTTCACATGCTTCCTTCTGGAGATATGCCCTCCCACAGCTTCAGGGACTTCCCATGTGCTGGTAACTCACGTAAAGCAGCCTGAATCCTGCCTCCTTTTCTGAGCACCAGGTCAGAGTCCCATCGTCCTGTGGCTAGCTCGACCTCAGCTTGTCATAAAGCATTTTCTCTATTCTTGCCGTCCTTCTCCTCCCTCTGGCCTGTGATCCCTTCCTTAGCCAACACCACCTTCATCCTAGAGCTGGGCCACCAAAGACCTGGGAGGACTTCTGTCTCCTGGCCCCGCCCTGCCTTCCACACCCACTCTTCTCCCATGAGCCTCCAAGCGAGGCTTTCCACTCCCTGCAGCTCCCCCACTCCCTCAAGCAATTCTCCCACTGGCTTCAGCGTCAATGAAGACCATTTAGGTTGAAATTTCGCTACACAGATTTTACCATTCCTTTGTCGCTCTTCAAGCCCTGGTCTTTCCAGCTAAATCCCTATTTCTTGGCCCTGACTCCCCGGAGACCACAGGCAGGATTAGGTCCCGCATTCTCTGTGTCTGAGGTCTAGACCCATCATTTATGTACGTCTCCTTTGCTAACGGGACTCCCTGACAGCAGGGATGCTGCTGTGGGCATATCTGCTCCCCCAGCACCTAGCACTATGCATGGCCGGGTGCCTCATGCATATGAAGAAAACAAGTTTTTCATCCCTGCCATACTAATTACGGGCCAATAAATCAGGTGTCACTGTGGCTTCAGCCTAAATCTGCGTCCTCCCCACACCCCCACTGAAACAGTATTATTGTTTTGTCTAACTGAACTCCTTGGGTGCTGACATTGACTTGACTCTGGGCCTTATTTCTACCTGAAGCTGGGTCTTTACTTGGGAACATTCAGCAAGCCCTGGCGGGGAGGGGAGCACTTGCCTCTGCTGCTTAGAAGGCAGGGAAGCAGAACCCTCTGTCACACTCTGCATATGTGACTCTGGACTGCATGGCCTTCATGGGCCTCGGTTTTCTCATCTGCACAATGGGGACTGGCACACATGAATGTTGACAGACTACACCAATAGCAGGGACTCAATGAACAGAGGTTGAGCATAACTCAATGAACACCTCTCCCAGAACCACCTTCTAACTCATGGTGCACATACAGCACAGCAGCAAGGGTAACTGATAAAAATTGCTTAACTGGAAAATTCTTTTCTTCAAGTACCCCTCTCTCTGTTTGAACCTTGAATATGTGAGTTTTAGCAAATTCTTCCACGACAAAGTACAAAGAATGTCACTAAGGTCCAACCAACAACACATAAAGTGAAAAAAGAGAATCAATGTCTTCTTGATCTGGTGTCAGACAACTTACGATGGCCGTTTTACAGGACTTGGGATCCATGCCAGTTCAGATTCAGTTGCTCTTTCATTAAAACCTATTCACCTCCCCGTTGTGACATGTCTGCTGGGACAGCTGTGCAGCCAAGGGGCCACAGCACTCCAGGAGCCCCCTGAAGACTCCACACCTGCACATGATCTGCAAACGAGGTCTCAGATACTTCCAGCAGCCTTACCTTTCAGTTCTCTGGCTTTGGTGTCCAGTATCCTCTTTTCTTCCTCATTCTCGCTGGGAATTCCTTCATCTTCATCTCTGTTCCTAATACCCAACAAAACAAATGAATCAAAAGCCCTCCACCATGTCAATTACTCTGGTCACTGTCCCCTCCTCGGGGATAAAATCAGAGGCTGGGAAGGGCCCTGGTGCTTGACTTACAGGGTGTTGATCGTGTCCTGAATGATCTGAATCCAGCTGTTGCGCTCTTCTTTGGAGCTGGCATGTACTTCCACCATCTCCGGGTCCTTCATCCCCATACTTATTAGGAATAAACCTTTTTCTTCATGTGCGACTTCCCTTACAATCAGCTTCTTTAAAGAGATCACTGTTGATTTCTGGTCCTAGAAAAAGGGGAGAGGGTCAATGTAAGAAAGGCATACGATATCCTAACTCTCCAGAAAACTCTGATCTAAGTAAGGTAAGACCAGATGTATGATCTCACTTATGAGTGGCATCCAAAAACACAAAAAACAAACAAAAAATGCAAAAACCCCACACCAAACTCCAAGAAAAAGAGACCAGATTTGTGGTTACCAGATTGGAGGGGTAACCAATTGTCCAGAACATAGGACAGGTGTTGAAAGAGCAAGAAAATTCTCACGGTTCTTATCACAACAGTTTTCATTTCTTCCTTTTCTTTATATTATATCTATAGGAAATGATGAATGTTAGCTAAACTTTTTGTGATCATTTAATAATATACATAAATCAAACCACCATTCTGTATGCGTTACAGAGTGGTATGTGTCAATTATTTCTCAGTAAGACTGAAAAATTTACATATGGTTTAACAAACAATGGTAGATTTAAGATAAAGTATCTCATTATTTCATCTACGTTTTAGCAAACTGAAAAAGATTTCCAAAAAGGAAATGATTTGTATCTACCGAGTTTCCAGACATGGTTCCTACATGATGAATCCTTCTAGGTTCCTTGGTGACTGGCTGGTGGCATTATAAATGAGCACGATTTATGGGGCATAACATGCGAGAAATACTCCAGTGACAGATGTCCTTAGATCAAAAGTCCAAGGTCCCCAAAGGGACTGTGAGGGAACAGAAAACTAATGTTTCTTGGGGGTAGGGTGGAACACTGCAAGGGTATCTGAGAAATTACTCAGAGGAATCTGTCCTGAGCAAATTAATTTTGAGACGGGGGGAGAGCAATAATCCAGTGTTCAGACTCTATACTTACTCCGGATGTTCTGAATACTATTAATTACAAATGGAAGAGATTGACAGTTTAGCTTACCAATGATGCAAAGACATATTTCTGGTCTTTTTCTTGAAGGAAAACTAAAATGTCAGTAAGCAGAACTGCTTGAACCTCTGTAAAGTGGAAAAGAGGAGAATGGACAAGGATTACTGAACAGTGAAACGAGTTAGAGGCCAAGTCAGCAATACAGCCCTCAGAACAAATCAGGATGGGAGAGTACCCTACAGATGGGTTTACACTTCTGCAGGACCCACACCGGCTCACTGATTTTTTAGACGTATTTTTAAATGGAAGTTACCACCAAAGTCTTATCTTGACAAAGCCTGAATACTCTGCTCTGGAAAGAAATATTCCATAAGGGAAGAAGACATGAAGAACAAAATACTTTAAAGCTGGGAAGGATTTTAACAGATACTACATAGCAACACATTCCACCAAATACTCAGGTCATGATACTCCCTGATCTCTGATCCTAATAATGGGAGAGGTGTGAAAGAGAAGACTGGAGCATTGCCAATAGGTGATGTATAAAAATACCTCGGTCTGATGAAAGGCAGACAACCCTCACACCCCAGGAGAACAGAATGGCTCCACATGCCCTCTGATTTCACAGGTACATACATGGGAACACAATGGAGCCCAGTCAGCCTCAACATCTATCTGCCATGGACACAGCCTGCTGTTCCTCTCAACTCAAACAAAAGCCAAAGTAACATGTGTACTTGGATCTAGTAATCGGGAGAATGCCACAAACTCCTGCTCTGAGAATGTGGGGCAGCATTTTCTAGTATCGCCTTAAAAGATGAGGTCTGGCATCTCAGATCTAGCAGGCTGGCCCCTCTGCGCTATCCTCCCCCTGGAAGGGGGGGGCCTACTACCCCGTGGGGAAAGAACAGAACTGACTTAAGCAACCTCCTCAGGTGTTTGGGTCCCCTCTGGGCTTTCCCACCCCTTCTGCCACAGCTGGAAGCCCCTCTCTGTGTAATTTGCTACATGGCTATGAAGAGAACAGAAGCAAGGACAGCAGATTGCTCAGGAGGTAGTTTTCAGCTTAGACCAAAAAGGCCATAAACTACTGTTCTATGGGCTGCTATTCATTTTGACAAGTTTCTTAAAGTTTACTTTTAAATAATTCAGGTGTCTTCTAAACAAAGTTTCAAAACACAAGTTTCAATTTCGCTGGATGCTTCTACGTACAGTGTTGATGGGTCAGAGAAAAACAAGCCCGTCCCTTTCAAGGGGTGCCAGTGCAGTAATGGCTGTCCTTGGCACGAGCCCACCTGAGGGGGGAAGGCCTCTACACCAAGCCTGATCTCCACTGGAGAGCCTGTCCTGTGCCACTAGCTGACCACAGCTTCAGTCCCACAGCTGGAATCCATCAGTTTTTACTTTGGGAATGAATAAATAAACTGCTGTGTACAGGAAAGAACCAAGTGCTGGCTCTAGGCAGTGGCAGCTCTAGGAAATTCAGGTCCTTGCAAAAGGAAGCAGGCTTTCCTCAAGCACCAGGCTGCCTTGAGGCCAGTCCCAAAGTGCCCGTGTGGGCAGAGTCCTGATCCGGGGATTCTCAGAGCATCAGATGATAGGTACTGGGAAGGGGGAGGGAGCCTCGGGGATTGCCTCATTCAAGTTCACCATGGAGCAGAGACACACATCTGCTGGAGGCAGGAAGGGATCATTCTTTCATGTGAAAGGTTCCTGGCTTTCCTTTCAATGCTCCCACTGGAACTCAGGCCTGGTGTGCTTGCCGTGGTTCCCTGCAGCAGGGGCTCTCCTGTCTCTGTCACCAGCCTCTCCCTGCTCCTGCTGCTCCCTGGCTGCCTCCATGATGGCGCTAGAAAACAGTAGAATGGATCCCTTTCCTGCTGAAAACCCCCTGTGTGGAGCCCATTCTGTGCCCACCCCATTGAACAGTATCAGCTGTCACTGTCCGCATCCTGACTAGGCCCCTCTCTGACCCTGTCCTCAGCCCTCCCCGCCACCGTGTCTGCTGCCTACAGGCCAGGTGTACCTGCCCTTTGTCCTTCATGACTAACTCAGATGCTACTTCTCATGGGTCTCTCAGTTCTGCCCTTGGTTCCAGCGCCCGTCAGACTGTGGAGCAGGCACCTCTTCACAGGCCTCTTCATTCTGAGCCCAATACCTATGCAGGCTCAGCTTCATTCACCTTTGAGGCCAACGGGTCACCTGGGACATCTTTACTGTTTGGTGCAAGAGTGGTGAGATGCCAGCTAAGGACTCTGGGGTACTGGCTGGCAGCAGCTGCCTATAGTGTTCCTGATGTGTGAGAGACAGGCCAGGGGCACAGATCTTATTCCCAGCCTTGGTTTCCTTTTTTCTTTTTTTTTTTTTTAATTTTTTATTTATTTATGATAGGCACACAGTGAGAGAGAGAGAGAGAGGCAGAGACACAGGCAGAGGGAGAAGCAGGCTCCATGCACCGGGAGCCCGACGTGGGATTCGATCCCGGGTCTCCAGGATTGCGCCCTGGGCCAAAGGCAGGCGCCAAACCGCTGCGCCACCCAGGGATCCCCCAGCCTTTGTTTTCTGTCAGCGCGGATGACACCACGCGGCCAGCCTGCCTGGTGCACACAGCTTGTCAGGGCTGGGCCAGGTGTGCTTAGGGCTGCTGCTAAGGCCAGAGCTCACACAGGCCTCAAGGGTCGATGAAAAGGTTATTTATAAATCAGATGGGTAGACGAATTAATAAACCTCATAGTAATTTCCTTAACTTGATGCAGCTCATCCTTTAAAAGGAAAAATTAAAACCAAATGGAAAATTAGTATCTTCTACAATTTTGTGCTTAGAGGAAGATAAAAGAGATGAGTATCATCAAGTTTAATAATCTATCTGGCTGGTGTGAGTCACACATAGGTTTTCTCTAAGGTCTTGGGAGCTGAAAAGTCCTCTACAATCTCTCTTCAAACAAGTGACGTATTCTTAATCTCTCAGACTCTGACCTGCTACCTGATAGGGTTTTCTCTCCATGCAACTGTTGCCAGAGACCCCAACCCCTAATGTGTTGCCTGTTTCTGGAGGAGACCACACCTTTCTTAATAGCCTGCGTTTCTGTAATGTTATACTTGGCTTTTTTTTTTTTTTGCCTTTTTTTTTTTTTAAAGATTTTATTTTATTTATTCATAGAGACAGAGAGAGACACAGGCAGAGGGAGAAGCAGGCACCACACAGAGAGCCTGACGTGGGACTCGATCCTGGGTCTCCAGGATCACGCCCTGGGCTGCAGGTGGCGCTAAACCGCTGCGCCACCGGGGCTGCCCTTTTTTTTTTTTTTTTTTTTTTTGCCTTTTTAAGCTGTTTTATAAACTTCAGAATATATAACGAGCATCTTGCCATGCAATAGGGTAAAACTCCCTTGCTAGAAGAATCTTACAGACTGGGTCAGAATACTATGTTCAATTAGAAGCTGGCCACAGGAGACCCACAGAAACACGTAACACCAGAAGGTATGCAACAAAGGTACACTGAATACATGTAAGTTTAGGAAGCAAGTGGGTCTTCCTATTAACTTGAGGAAAGACATCAAGATTCAAGGCATAGGCCAAACTCCTCATGATGGCCATGGTGAGGAGGGTCAGTGCTAACTGCCTGCAGACCACGATTGGGCTGCTTTTCCAACCCGTCTCACCTCCTCCCGATCCTTTCCATAATCTCCCCTTTCACTGCTGCCTGTGGCTCTCCAAGCCTCTGACATGTGTCCTTGTTATACTGTAGGATGTGACCGCCTATGATTGACTCGAGGCACACGACAGTCACCAGCTTCCAGGCAGGGCCAATACCTCTGCTTTACTAGCAATCTGTTTCCTTTTCATCCTTTTTTCGTTTTCCTGGTTGGCATGAGATTTTGTCCTGCTCATTCCTCTCTGGATGCCACTGCTCTTGGGCCTGTCCTTGCTGTCTCCCACTCTTCCTGATTCTTGCCATGAGTGCCATGTGGCAACACTTAGACCTGCACACCAGCTCCCCCTCTGCCACCTACTCTTTGGGGCCATCCCTGGCCTGCATACCCTTGGAGTCACCGGGAGCAGGTGCCAAGAAGGGCCACCTTGCTTTGTTTTTAAAATCTTTTTTCTTCCCCCATTTTCCCTGTGTCATTCCTGTTCTCTTACTGGAGTTTACCATCTCATAAGCTGTCTCAAACTCATTTTTTTTTATATAAAATTAAGAATTAAAAGACAATTGCTCCTGTGTAATGTTTGGGTGTGGGATCCCTAGGAAAAACCTGGCGGTGGATTACTAACAAAATTATCTGAATCTTGCTTGCTCTTTTTTGGTACACATGTAGACTCAGACAAAAAGCAAGCCTTACCTTTCAACCTTCCTGCTGCGCTCTTCAGAAACACACCCCCATCCCTCACAAGCTTCTTCCGCTTCAAATCCTCCTTGGCAAACATCTGGCCGCTCTTCATCCTCATGATCGACTTGCTATCTGTCTTTGTATAAATTTCATTCAGACGCACTTTCTTTTCATAACTTGCCACTTTGCTGTCCACGGCTCCAATCACATCCTTCACCAGGCTCAGGGACTGAGCCAGATCTTCCTGCTCTACTTCATTGTCTTGGAAGGAAGGAATAATCCTGTTTTTAATGGATCCTTTCAGACAAGGAGAGGGGGAAGCCTACTTCCTGGTGGACATGCTGATAGCATGTCTGATAGAGTGAAGCCAACACACCAAACATCATGTGCCTATCCTTGTCATAAGGTTAATTCTCAATAAAGTTAGACATTTTCTACGACAGACACAACATGCAATTCCACGCCATGTCCTGAAGCAGAAGGACCCAACAATTTCAGGGAGAAAGAGGGGCAACAGTAATGTATGTCTTTATCTCATCTTGAACATAACTGCCTAGGAGCAGGGCTGGCCAAGAGAGAGAAACTAGTAAGTCCAGGTTCAGTGAGAAACAACAGCAGGTCTAGCAGTTCACTTATGGAAAGAACTGGTGGGGATCCCTGCCCAGTCTTGTGGTGAGGGAGAAGTTGCTCGGGCTGCTGAATCTTGAGGGAGTCAGTAAGTGGCTCCTTCCTGCTTTTGTCCACCTGAAGCCTGGGGACACAGCATTCCAAGTTTTCACTTAAGAAAACAGTTTTTAGGGTAAAACACAGGATCTCTTAGAGACCTGTGAGAGCATTAAGCAGCTCTTCCTTGGGGCCTCTTGTGCTGGTGGTCATACAAGAAACAGTCTGCTGGCAGACCTGACCGGTGAGGAAAGAGGCTCACCTTTGGTACACTGCAATATTCTTTGGAATAAAACTGGGTATTTCGTGATTCGCTGGGTCACCAGCAATATGCACTCTGGGATGCCCAGCCTCCTCACGATGGCACTGCTCATCTTCTTCTGCAAAGGACAAAATGGGATTATCAGGAGCTATTCGAGGAGGGCTCTGGCTCAATGAATAGTGACACAGTGCCCCAGACCACGAAAGAGTTCCCTGTTTCACACTCATACCTTCACAAAGGCCTGAAACCGCTTATCCTTGGTATGAAGGTCTTTAAAGTAGTTCACAGACTGGTTGTGTTGCCCACAGAACTTGCCGTATGTCTTCTTTAAGCGTTCTGCGTTCTCCCCTGAAAACTGCAGAAAAAAGCAAGCAGAAGTTGGAGCTCGACGCTGAAATTTTATACAGAATCTATATCGAATTTTGTACAGTTTCCAGTCTATTTGTAAAACCCAAGAATGCGTTCCCCAAGAGTTCCTCAAAAGATTAAAATCGTGCTGCAGCTTTGGAAAACAATATTGCAGTTCCTCAGAAAGCTACACAGAGTGATCATGTGACCTGGCAATTCTGCTCCTAGCCATAAAACTTACACAAAATCTTGGATATGAAAGTTCATAGCCACCATATTCACAAGTGCCCCCAAGTGGAAATAAACCAAATGCCCATCCAAGGGTAAATACAATGTGGCAGGAACACAGGATGGACCATTATTCTGCCACAAGAGGAATGAAATACAGATAGATGGTTACAATATTGATGTTGAAAGCATTATTCTAAATGAAAAAGCCAAACGCAAAGGACTGTCTATTATTTTATCTCATTTACTTAGTAATAAGTCCAGAATAGACAAATCTGCAGAGATAGAAAGTAGATTGGTAGGTGCCTAGGGCAGGGGCAGGGTGATAAAGATGTTCTAAAACTGACTGTAATGGTGGTCATACAACTCTGTGAATATAGAAACTAGAAACCATTGAACTGTACACTGTACATAGTGAACTGTACATAGAAGTGGGTACCTCCTATGGCATATGAATTTGTTCCAATAAAACTATTTAAAAAAAACAACCATCACAGAAATATCTATGTGCTGTGCACTTAAGTAGTGCAAAATGTGTTCTAATTTCTATTTGTTATAAACACAGTAGCGAAACAAGGAGATTCACTAGAAGTTTTCCAGTGAGACAGTCTTAAAAAGCTCACCTTGATAAATCAAAAAGATATCAGAAGCAGCTATTATTACTCAGTGATCTGCTTATCTTACCTACCTCAGGCCAGCAGTCCTAACAATTCTGTGTGGTCTTTCATCATTTCTAAATGTGTGCAGTCTCAATGGCTCATCTGAAGAGATGTTCACTTTGGGGTAAAACAATAAGTTTCTGCATGTTAAGCATCAATTTCTACTGTATTAAAAATCTCTGAAGGCAACACAAATTGATCCTTACCAAAAAACTTGAAAGAAAAAAGGTTCAGAGTATCTAGCTTCTCCTTTTCCCCTTTACCAAAGGGAAAGTTAAGGCAAAGATTTTTAGGTGCTCCACTTCCATCATGAAGTAAGTGCTATAAAAGGGTGGTTTTAGAACTGGCACATAGAAGCAACAAATGGATGCCATGATGGTCCAAGATATGAATCCTACCATTAAAGATCTTACTAAAGGAACATGCACAAGTACAATGAACTATGGACAATACAAGTCAGGTTAGAAGAGGCACCTGTGCAGGTCTGAGGGTAGAGAGAAAGATGTGGAATCTGTTAGGAGGGGATGTTAGGGCCCTATTTGTGGCACAGACCTGTGTTACAGCATGAGCCATGCTCTGTGTGCCTTACATCCTACCATGCCTTTGTTCACTTGGGAACAGGAGGAGTGTGAGACATAGGTCTGAGTTGTGTCTGCCTCTGTGGTTCCAGCTGGTATTTTGATGCCCAGGAAATATTAGAAAAAGGATGAATGAATGCACTAATGAATTAATGAGGTGAGGAGTACAGGCTGAAGAACGTAAGGAAAAGACAACACTTTATCAATTCTTAGGCAGATGTTCCACCAATGAAGCTTCTGTTTGTATGAGGCGGCAGAGATCTGCTGAGGAAGACCTAGGTGGGGGTGATGCCGTGCCCCTCTGCCTGTTAAGGTTCAACTAACAACACTTTTTTCTTTTTTTAAAGTTTTTTTTTTTTTAAATTTTTTAAAAATTTATGATAGTCACACACAGAGAGAGAGAGAGGCAGAGACACAGGCAGAGGGAGAAGCAGGCTCCATGCACCGGGAGCCTGACGTGGGATTCGATCCCGGGTCTCCAGGATCGCGCCCTGGGCCAAAGGCAGGCGCTAAACCGCTGCGCCACCCAGGGATCCCACGACACTTTTTTCAAAATAACTTCTGGCCCAACTGTTTTTGGAGTAGGATTGAAACCATGCCACCTCTTGATGAAAACATCAGCAAGATCTATTTTATGGAACTATTTTACAGATAGTTTCTTGTTCAATTTTCTAATCCCACGTGGTTTTCAGATAAAGGAGTTCCTTTTGATTTAAGGCATAAGGAGGAAGTTGAAATTCCAAAAGACTGCTTTTAACTTCTTAAACTACACTGTTTCTGATGATAGTCTGGATGCTGAAAAGGAAAATGGGACTTTTACTGAATATCTACCATATATGCTAGTTTTTTTATGTATATATTCTCTTTAGTTTTAAAAAAATGACATTAGGAAAGAAAATCTGCCCTCATTTACAGAAAAGGAAATTGAGGCTCAGAGAGATTTGAAAACTTGCCTATGCTCACAAAGATAACAGGCAGTATAGTCAGGATGTGAATGCATGGCTGCTGAACCCCAAAGCTTCACTTTCTACCTCATTATGTGGGGGAAGATCCTTTCCATTACTCACCTGATTTACAAGCACATCTCCCATCCTCTTGATGAGGAAGTTCTTTTCGCTTTTATCCACCAGAGATTCCTTCTTCCGCTCCAGGATCCTCTGAAAGAACTGGCTATGGATACTGATCAGTTCATCCAAACAGGGGAACAGCTTCTCCACCGTCTGTTGCTCAAAGAGCAGTTCTGTCATCATCCCCCGGCTGTACACATCGCTCATGATCTTCAGCGTGCGGATGTGGTGCAATTCTGTCTGCATCAACTCTGAAGCAGGACAAAGCTGGTCAGGATTCTCCTTCAAAGGTCACCTGCTACTAAAAGCCCGCTTTAGTCTTAACACTATTTAGAGCCCAACTGAAACTTAAAAACTGGGTCAACAGCTGTCTTTCCCTTAAAGTGTTCCCATTTCATTTCTCTATTTCACATCACCTAATGCTGTTTTCTGACGGCATGCTGGATTTCCATCACTCTTTAAATGATGGTTTCCCAAGTGGTCTGTGCTAGATTCAGAGCCTTTCATAATTTCCTACAAATGACTCATGCTTAGTTTCCAATGTAGCTGAGAAATCAAACTGTACAGTCACAAGAGATCTCTTTCTAGGGCTGCTGCATAAACAAGCGCTTACATTCAATAAAATTAAAGGAAACAATTTTATTTTATTTTTTAAAGATTTATTTATTTATGCATTCAGAGAGAGCGAAGAGAGAGGCAGAGACACAGGCAGAGGGAGAAGGAAGCCCCAAGCAGGAAGCCTGATGCGGGACTCGATCCTGGGTCTCCAGGATCACACCCTGGGCTGCAAGTGGCGCCAAACCGCTGCGCCACCGGGGCTGCCCCAAGGAAACAATTTTAAAGAGAAAAGGACAGATGTAAGATCATGTCTCTAAACCTCAAAGTTTTTAAAGAAAATCTGTGACATGCACCATACTTGAAAATTGGCTTTCTAAGGTCCAATGATTTCCTTGATAAAAGGTGCTGCACAATGCATATCAAACATCAGCAGAACAAATGGGAGGGTCTCACCATAAATCACTTCTTGCCGTTTGACCACATCTTTCTTTTGCTGTTTGAGAAACTTGCTATCCACTACTCGACTCCAGGACTCTGCTTCTAGTTGTTTGGATTCCATCTCGAAGTCCCCCATTAGCTGTCCTTCATTCATGTCTGTACCTACTCCTCAAAACAGCAAAAGATCAGTATCAGAATCTGGGGTCTGTGAGCTCTAGGAAGCTTACACTGTACTTTCCTCAGGTGATAATTTCCCAAGACACACACAGTGCATTAACACAGGGAATATTCATAGAATGCATATTCTAGGATCAGAAAAGAATCATTTCCTGTCTGGGAGTGACACACTGCATGTGCACGACTCTGGGTAAGAGTGATAAATATCACCTAAATCAAATGTGACTGACATTCAGGATTCCTATGTGAATAAGGAATTGTAAAGTACCTGGTAACTTTACTTAAGAGGTAGGCTTATGACGTGCCCAGAGCTATAACTTACCACATACGAAAAGTCTAAGGGAAGAAAAAGTGTTAGTACTAGAGAAGGACTACATTAAAGTCAATGACATCCTTCAATGGACAACTATCTAACAACTGGGTAAGTTTGATTACCAACTGATTATAGAGCATTTTGATGATTAAGAGACAAGTTAGAGAATCTTCACAGGAGTAAGGAAGAGGCAGGTACTATTATTATTCCATTTACACTTATATTCAGTGAACAGCACCCAGTCTCCACAGATGCGTAAGACACAGGCCATAATTTCCTCTTACCCTCATCAGTAAGTGATTCTGTTGACTCATTGACCTTGCTGATTTTATTTAGGGAGTCTGTTGAATGAGACAGGAATTTCCAGGTGTTTGATATGTTCTCATCATTGCCAACTCTGAGGAAGAAAAGAAGCACATACTGTCAACCACATTTTTAAATAACCCATTGTCTGCATTCTCAAATGAGTACCAGAAAATCTCTAAAATGACAGCTGGCTATAAGCACCACAGTGATGGAAGACAAATTACTTATGTCAGGTTCTTGGAAACATGCAACACGAGCTATTCAGGAAGGTCAGAAACATCACTAAGATGTTTCACTGAAACCTGAACCTCTTGAGCCTTCACTGAAGATCACTGAAAACCTGCACCTCTTGAGCCTTCAGTTATGGTGTGTGTGTTTTTCTTTTTTATGATAAGTAACAAGAATAATGCTCTTCCCTTAAACTCTGTACACATTACATAAGAAATTTCTCCATTTGAAACTCACTGTGTAACTGCTAATTTTTTCTACTTGTTCCTAAATAACTGCAGCCTAAGCACTTTTAATAAACTGTATTCCTTGGACTTTCTCACACCCAACCCACCAGCTGGCACAGCAGGCCCCCAGTAAATGTTTTTGGTAGGACACAAAAGCAAGCCAGAGTCATTTAAAAGTTTACATTTTATTTAAAGATTGGTTTTTAAAAGTTATAACGCAAACAAGTTTTGAGACCCTAACAACTCTGAAAGGAGGCCTTTGAACAATGACAGTACAAAGACAAAATAAAAATACCTGAAACATTTTTTTAACAAGAAAACAATAGTCAGCACAGAGGTTAGGAGATGAAGACAAAAGAAAATCTGCACCCTTTAGTTAAGAATTTTGCTCCAGCCGAGGTTAAGAGAGATGCAAGAGATGTTCTGAGTCCTACATTTGAGGTGACTCCTTTACTTGATGGGAAGGCAGGAGTCTTATTACCCCAAACAGGCAGCAACATCATAATTAGCCTTGTGCCAGCCCTGTGACAGCTGAGGCCTCAACAGTTCGGGGCCAGAGCAACTTTTGCAAAGACCACAAAAGGAACTTAGTGCAAATGAGTGAGGGCAGACCCAGAAGTCCTAACTGGACCATTATTCACTATCATGAAATGGACTTAAGAGTCAAGATGCAAGCCCAGAGAAGAGATTCAAAAAGCAGCAGAGACACTAAGTTCACATGACCAACAGAAAAGTGTAATATCTGAAAATACAAGTGGTTACAAACAAAAATCCTGTGCCCCCCCCCCCCCACAGTTTTCACTGATTTTGATCTAAAAACTGTCCCTTTATAACTCAGGTTCCTTAAAAGTGAGGATGACCACGCAGGAAGCACAGGACAATGTGCCTGATGATGGTGTTTAAAGGGGATTCCTTGCTAAAAAATGGTGGGCATGACAGTGCATCAAAATGCAATCCCCATTCTCCGTTTCTGTATCACTTGGCTATACACTAAATCATTATTTTATACCTTTTTTTTTCCCTACTGAGAAGAATCTTTTCCTGAAGTGATATGGTTATTAAACTCCTGTCACCCACATACATGGCCAAACAAGCAAATGAGAAAATGCTCTGCATCACTTGCCAACAGGGAAACACAAATCAAAATCACAATGAGATACCACCTCACACCCAGTGAAAATGGTGAAAATTAACAAGACAGGAAACAACAAATGTTGGAGAGGATGTGGAGAAAGGGGAACCCTCTTGCACTGTTGGTGGGAATGTGAACTGGTACAGCCACTCTGGAAAACTGTGTGCAGTTTCCTCAAAGAGTTAAAACTAGATTTGTTCTACAACCCAGCAATTGCACTGCTGGGGATTTACCCCAAAGATACAGATGCAGTGAAACGGCAGGACACCTGCGCCCCGATGTTTATACCAGCAATGTCCACAATAGCCAAACTGTGGAAGGAGCCTTGGTGCCCATCGAAAGATGAATGGATAAAGAAAATGTGGTCTATGTATACAATGGAATATTACTCAGTCATCAGGAAGGACGAATACCCACCATTTGCTTCGATGTGGATGGAACTGGAGGGTATTATGCTGAGTGAAATAAGTCAACTGGAGAAGGACAATCATTATATGGTTTCATTCATACAGGGGAAAAAAATAGAGAAAGGGAATAAAGGGGAAAGGAAGGAAAATGAGTGGGAAAAATTGTACAGGGTGACAGAACATGAGAGACTCCTAACTCTGGGATACCAACAAGGGGTAGTGGAAGGGGAGGTGGGGAGGTGGGTGACGGGCACTGAGGGGGGCACTTGGCGAGATGAGCACTGGGTGTTATGCTATATGTTGGCAAATTTAACTTAAATTAAATTTTTAAAAATTAAAAGAAAAAATAAACTCCTGTCATCTAGATGTCAACTGTGCTGTATCTATGAATCCCCACTTACCCAGCAATGTTCTGTATGGAGACACTTTTGGAGAGTGAGATACTCTGTTGGGACCGTCTATTGGCAAACATGGGAATGGCAGTGGCTTCATCCGCCAGGAGGACTGCAGACCGAGGACGCTCCTTGGGCTGTGAAGCTATAAAGGAAGAGAGGACATCAAATGAATGGTGTATCCAAGCTCATGAGTAGTGACTCATCTGACAAGTGTCAAACAGAAGCAAATTTTTTTAAAGCAGATTTGCCCTGGGAATGTAAGTGGATACAAAAACTCTATGGAGGACAATCTGGCAATATCTATTGAAACTGCCTAGATCCTTTGATCCAGTAATCTAATTTTAAGATATATTTATTCTACCTCCCCCCTTTTAAAAAATGTAATCTCTACTCCCAACGTGGGGCCTGAACTCACGACCCCAAGATCAAGAGTTGCATGTTCCGAGTGAGCCAGTCTGGCACCCTGGATATATTTATTCTACGAGATACACTTGTAATGCTTAAAAGGACGTATGTCCAAAGTTATTCAGTGAAATGCTGTTGGTAAAAGCAAAATACCAGCAAGGAAACAAATGAATATCAAAAGATCAATTCACAAACTATGGTACATCATACACTAAAATACTATGTAGCTTTAAAAAAAATGAAGACACTCTCCACGAATTGATATAGATCTCCAAGATAATACTGTAATGGGGAAAAAAGACAAGGCCCATGACAAACTTTTTAGACTTTCATGTTTAAAAAAAGAAAAATAAGCCAAATTAGGATTTGATTTAATAAAGAAACTTGGAGAAGATAAATATAATAAAACTAAGAGGAGTAGTTAGCTGTGGGTTGGGATGCAGATTGGGGAATGAGGATAAAGAATCATGGGTAGTAATATATTTAAACAAAGAAAATAATTCAAAGTAAAATAAAATGAAATTGAAAGAATCTTAAGGATAAAAAGAACCACAAGATGAGAGAGGCCAGTGTTTTCTGCGAGTGTCTACCCGGCCATATAGGAGGTGCCTGTAAGATATGCAAACTCCCAATCCTTCGGGCCCTTGGGAGTGGGACCTGGGAGTCCACACATTTTACCAGCTCCCCAAGGGATTCTTCTGTATGTTGCCTGAGAACAAAGATTTTGACCAATTTCTTTAATTCAAGCTGAGGAAAATATAACACTCCATTTAATGTCACATAGTGAAGCTGTTCTCATACTGTGTGGTTCTCTGAACATGACCAGAGAGGAAGCTGGAGCTCTAATTTTATGCTCAAGTGGTCACAGTGGCATTTGGGCAACAAATTATTTTTCCTTGGTAACTGAGCTCATGCCCCAGACACGAGCTGTATTATCTGTCCCTCCCCAGGAGTCTCAAGAGCTGGAGGAAATAAGACTAGGGCAGCTGTTACGACTTTATGACATTGCAGGATGTTTCTGACTTAATAAAAATTAATAAAACCATTAATTTCCAATTCAAATTCTATTTAGAAGAAGGTCATACAATAAAACACCAGAAACACACTATACTACCGCATAACCAGATCCTTCCTGCAGGAAGCACACACGGAGCAGGAATCATGGGCCCTACCCCAACAGGGAGTAAGAGCAGCCAGCAGAGAAGGGAACATGCTTGAGGGTCTAAGGGCCTGGGGCACACTCTCGGTTTTTTAGAAGGGAGGTCAGTGAGTGGATAAAACCTGACTAAGGAAGAGACACTGGTTCCTGAAGAATGGAGGATGTGGGTAGGTCAGAGGGAAAAGAGGACATTCTGACAAGGAGAACGGTGTCAATGAAGGCAGAAAGGATCATGTGGTATGACATTAAGTAGGAGAGAAAAAAAAGAAAGATGTATATAAAGAATCAGTAGAAAAGGCTAGGGAAACAGAATGAAGTCATGCTATGCAGAACCCTAAAAGTGATAAAGAACTCTATTTTTTTTATTTTTAAAGTAATCTCCACCCCTAACATGGGCCTCGAACTCACAACCCCAAGATCAAGAGTTGACTGAGGCACTCAGGTACCCCCAAGAACAACTTTGTTTGTAAAGGACAGAATCAGGCAGTCAATGTACAGCTTTCCCTTGTTTGAAACCAATCCCTATTCCACTCAGGGAACTGATGTAATATCACTGAGCCTCAGTTTCCCTATTTGTGGGGATGATGACAACAGCTAAAGCTAACACTAAAGGAGGCCTATTGGGTTCTTTATAGGTGTGATCTCATTTAAACCTGATGACCACCCACTGAAACTTTTACCCTCTGTTTACAGAGGAGGAAAATGAAGTATGGAGTGCGGATATAGTAAATACCCAAGGTTACACTGAGTGGCAGTGTTGGGACTCAAACTCGTATGACTTGAATCTACAATCTGTACTCTTAACCACCATACTGCGTCAGCGGGGTTAGAATGGTACGGTAAGAATATTTGTGGGGGTCAGAGGTAACACACGTAACCTGACAACTTGACATATAATAGGTATTTTTTTAAAGGTATTATTTCTTTTTATTATTTTTTTATTTTTTAAAGATTTTATTTATTTATTCATGACAGACGCACAGAGAGAGAGAAAGAGGCAGAGACACAGGCAGAGGGAGAAGCAGGCTCCAGGCAGGGAGACTGATGTGGGACTCGATCCCGGGTCTCCAGGATCACGCCCCGGGCCAAATGCAGGCGCTAAACCGCTGAGCCACCCGGGGATCCCCCTTAAAGGTATTATTTCATCTGATGTGAAAGAAAATAGATTTCTGAAACAAAGGACAATGTCCCAGAAAAAAATGTTAAAGGAAGATCAGACTGGTAAAAGGTTTTGGAATGGGTTGGATCACCAATTAAAGTGGGTGTTGGGCCTGGTGAAACTTCTCTTATAGGCATCTACCTGCAGCGATTGACAGTAAACAAACTTAATCTACGTAAACAGAATCCACATGCTTCTGGAAGAACTCAGAGCAATGAGGTGTGGAACAGTGATTCTCATGCTTGAGTCTGCATCAGACTTACCTGGGTGATCGATTCAAACATAGATCATGGGCTCTACCTCTGAATTTCTGATTTAGGTCTCAATAGGGTCCACGAATGCACACTTACTATTGATCCAGGAAATACACTTTGAAAAACACTGCCTTAGGGTAGGTAAGTCCCACAGGGGTTCCCATAGAGCCAATTAAGAGGACACTCAGTACTGCATTATTTATGGTAGTAGTTGGAAATGACTTAGATATCCATCTTTGGGGGAACTGATAATTAAATTGTGGAACAGGTTTATGAGAGAATACCATGCAGCAGTCTGAAACAACAGCTTATCCATAAAAACATGCATAGATCTGAAAATGACAGACTGAGAAAAAAGCAGAATGAATAAGCCTAAGTCTTATATTAAGCAGAATGAATAAGCCTAAGTCCTATCTAATATAAATGCAACACACAAAACAGTAAGAGGTATTTTCAGCGATAGATGTGTAAAGAGAACCGATCAGAAAGATACATGTTAACTAACCACAGGGGGCGCTACAGAGGGAGGTGATAATGCAAAGAGGAGGTAACACCAAAGTGGAGCCTTGCACTGGTGAGGACAGGACAGTACTCTGTGATTGACTCGATTCTGTGTACCACCTGAAGGCCCTGGAGGAAAAAAGAGAACTACTTACTTCACTTCACAGTTTATAAACTAAGAAGTTTGATCAGCAAGATCTCTTTTTCCCTTGTATAACTGTAGGCGTTAAAAACATGCATAATTGTCAACTCATGGAAGAGAACTTGGGAGATGCATGAAACTTCACCTGCTGAACCACATGGAAATAGGGCTGCCTCTCAAGTGAATACACACACTATTCTAGAAGCCTTCCAAGGGCATGTGATGGTAAAACATTCGGCTTTTGGACAATAATCTGCAGTCTTCTCTAACTAACCACAAAATAAATACTCAAGTCTTAAGAGTAACAAACAAATATTACAAAAACATGTTTAAGTCCTGAACCAGAGAGTCAAAAGAGCTGGCAGAGAGGACGGCTGAGTGACTTACGCTTGCTCCGCATGATGACTGTGGGCAGTGAGGATGTGTCCTGGGCCTGGAGGCTTCCTCTGGGCTGCTGAAGGAGAAAGGAAAATAAATACATGAGGACTGCATCCACAATTTATCTTCTGTCAGGTCTCAAGAAGCCCAGAGCCAGGAGAGAGCAGGGACAGCGCTCCAGCTGGGCTCCTGGCCAATGGTACTCACCATCCCTCCAGTCACCCCCACAGGCTCTCCTCTGAGCCTGCCAAGTGCATGACCTCCAAAATGCTGCTTTTCCCCCTGGAACACCCTGTGCCCCCTCACCTCAGGGCATTCCTCAATTCCAAGACAATGTGAGAACCATCTCCTGGGTAAAGCCACCCATCACCTTCTTTCTTCTCCTCATCCAAGGCAGAGCCTGGCAGTCCCGAGAATCATGCACAGACCGCCACAGTTTCCCCCTTGTTTATGGTCACTGTCTGCCTGCCATCTCTCCCCCCACTAGAATGTTGGTTCCTGAAGAGCAGCCCCTGTGCTTTTTTCATTTGTTTCTCCAAGTGACTAGCATTAATAAAAGTACTAAATAGTCCTTATGTAAAGTACTAATTTCAGTTGAGACTTTTGTTGTAGAATGTGACAGAAACACTGTGAGAAATCAGAGTGAGCCAATTACTCTGAGATAAATCAGGCTACTTCCGATTTAGAAATGGAACTCCTCTTTCAGGCTGTGTTCTCTTATAAGGGAGATGCTACATCCCTATCATCAGTGTTCTACAGAGCTTAGTACATTCCTAGTAGCTCTAAGTCTCGTCAGAGATCACAAACTCAGTGCCCATGGGGTTAGGCAGGCAACAAGTGAAGGAGGCAAGGCCGGGGGTGGGGGGAACCTACACATCCTGTTGAGGAAGCAGCAGCCTCTCAGCCCCCGTGGATTACCACTTTCTATCCATCTGCCCAACATTCAGGGACCTAGACAACCAGACTCCGTGCTGGATGCCTTGGATCTATCAACGGATCAAACATTCCTGACTTGAGACTGCTTGGCAAGTTTGGTGCTTACATTCTAGTGGGGGGAAGGTGCAGATTACACAAAATAAATGTAGTAAGTAGATACAAGCTGTTAAATAGAGACTCTGAGAAGGTGAGAAGTACTATGGAGAGTAGGAAAAAAGAGCAAGGTGAAAACGGAGACTGCTGGGTAAGAGGAAATAACCAGGGTTGTGAGATCTTCCAATTTTCCTTTTTTGAGGTCATCCAATTTTTAAAGGAGAAATTAGAATCTAAATTGATATGAAATGTGATTTCTTCAAATAACTGCATCAACAACAACAAATACTTCCAGAGCCAAACAAAATTTACATCCCCAGCCTGATAAAATCTGGGGTACAGAAGTGTATCGTTTTTACGCTCATTCAGACTTGTAGCATCTCCATCATCTGGGAACTGACTAGAAATGCAAATTCCCGGGCCCCACTCCAGGACGTGCAACCCGGGAAGAGGAATGCAGTAAGTGGTCTCTCTCAAAAGTCTCTGAGGGGACTCTAATGCACATTCATCCAGGTGTGAGGCCACTGCAGTACGTAATGTTTGCTTACTGCTAAAGTGCACAGCATACTAAGTATCATGTAGATGGAGCTGGAGTGCTTTCTTGACAAGGACAGAAGGACATTTATTTATGGGTGACTACAACACTGAAAACCACGGAGGCTACTTAGAAGGTAGACCCCCAAACCCTCTCTCTTTAGGGCCACTTGATAAGTGGTGCCCATTATTACACAGCATGCACCTCCCGGGCAGACACCTCCACTCACTTCCTGTTCTTGTGTCACGTGACCAGAGACAAGTGCTCTGTGACCCATGGACAAAAGTCCTGCCGGGCAGGCCATGTCAAACTCTCACACTCCTCAGCAGGTCAGAGCCCCTGAATGCCACCTGCTGCCCTCAGGGTGGCCCCAGGGGAGCCGGGTGTGTGAACAGCAGAGCAGGCCTGCACACACAGTTAAGAAAACCACTTTAACAACGACACAGGGACATTAGAAACTCAGAGATGTGTATTTAACACGGAATTCTGAAAGCATTTTCTTTTCCAAAAGCCTCAAATACCCGAGTGTGTTAAGAAACTCGGTGGCCTTAGAGAAAAATTGTTTTGGTCTCAATGATCACAATAAACAAAAACCCCAACCAGGACTCTCCCCATTCCGAGTAATGTCTTACCTTCATTTTGACCTTTGCACAGGAGGCCAGGCTTTCTCTACAGCCTTTGTGGACAAAAGCACTGCAACCTGAAAAACAAGCAAAGCCCCAGGTGACTTGGGCCAAGCAAACAGATCTTAGACTCTGACTTCCCAAGTGCAGTCACTTGCATATCACAATGCGGCTCTAACTGGAATTACATACTGCAGTCCCCTTCCAGAAAGCAGGCGTGTGATGTCATGGGGAGGAGGAGAAATGAGAGCAGATGTGATTTCTGATTAACGGAAACTAGAAGTCTGGAGCTTCTCAGGCAGGAAGCTGAGTGGCAACGAAGCAAAACGACAAGAGAAGTGCCTGCTGTCAACAAGTGAAATCAGAGTCATAGATAAATCCATGAACAGAGAGCCCCTGACCAGGACCTGGGAAGTACGTATGCTTTTGCCAGAGGCAGAGTGTGAACCTCAGAGTCTACCTGTCTATGTCCTTCTGTTTGGGATCTTATTCACTCTGAGCTTTCTGCAACCCAGCTAGAGTCAGGAGACAAAAGAAAGGTCATCAGAACTACCCCAGGCACACCTTGGAATCTGGACTCAAGATAAAGTGGGAGACTTCCGGAAAGATGGAGGGGAGGCCACTTCTGTCAAGGACACGAACCTCAACCCTTACTTCTTCTCCCTTGGCTCCACAGCCACTGATGTAAAAACTCAGCCCTCTCTGTGCCTCAGAATGGTCGCTGTCAGCTTTTACTGCTGCTATGAAGTCATAAGATAGAACTGTGCCAGGAGGCCAGAGGGGAAGCAGAAACAAAAGATCTGTGGGGACACCCAGTGACAAAAGCGTTTCCAGGGGAAGGTTTCCTGAAAAAAATCAACCCAACACCACAGGTCCTGACAGCCTCAACTCACTCACTGTGGGCCAAGACACTCTCTTAGCTCACACGTATGGATGTGGGAAGAGGGGAGTGATGATGGGGAGGATAGGACACTAGAATAGAGACTGCCAGAACCCCAGGCCCCAGGGGCCTCTCCCCACAGGCCCTTCCTCAACAGTTGCTCCTATGATGTCTCCTTGGTTCACGGATCTCTTTGGTAATACCACCTGTCACACCATACTGTGATGGTCTTACGTTTTTTTCCTCCACTGAGTGCTCTTCTAGGGCAGGGACCCTTCATCTATTGCTCAATCTTTAAGTCTTTCTACCATAGTGCCTAGCTCATGGCTCCTATTCACACGTCTAGTTTAGACCCTGCTAGGTCTTTTTTATCCAAAAGGCAAATGCCCTGATACTACACTGATTATAGAATGTGAAACACCAACTGGCTCTGCGAGTTAGTGTGACCCATGCAAGTCTGTCCTTACCTCAGTTTCCCCATCTAGTAAATGAGAGGAGAGGAGGGTCTACACTTTCCCCCAAGTTCCTTCAGCCTGTGATTCCCTAAGACTCTTTATGTTACATCTCTTGAAAAAAGGGTTAATTTTTCAAAGTGAGTCCCACTGAACTGTCCCACAAGGTTCATGCAGCCGAAGATTTCAACTTCTGTGTCATCTGAATTATCAGTAGGGTAGCCCCAGCCCCCTAGTATGTTACGTTCAGGGAAGGGCCTCACCTGGAGAGTCTTGACAGAGGACACCACTACCCAGAGGCTATCACAATATCAGGATATCACAAAAGCTATCTGCTTTTGTCAACAGGATGGCCCACAAAGCTGGAACTAGTCTGGAGTCTTAGGGGTGGGGTAAGGCTTTATTTTGCTCCTAGGCCTGCCTCTGTCCCCTGTCTAGCTAACCTCTTCTAGCTCCAACCCATGTGGCATTCATGGTCTGGCCACCTTTCTGTTAACACACCTGAAGAGTCATCTAAGCTCTTCTACCAATGGCAAAACAAGGTGAGGCACTCCTGGAAAGGGCTCATGTTGGCATCAACAAGAAGAAATACTGGAAGGTTTTAACTCATTCTTGCCCCCCATTGCATTCTTCTCCAGAACAGACTGCAAGTTAGTGATTTGGATGCCATGCTTCTTATAATTTCTACTGTCTGTGGTCATCTCCATGAAAGTGGTGAAGCTACTCTAGAGGTCAGCAGTGAGAGAGAGCTTATGTACTACTCAACAGGAATGCCGGGATTTCTCAGCAATGTCCCTTTCTGGGCATAAGGAGGCCTCTGCAGAAAGAGACCCCTGGGGAGTGACTCATTCTAACCAGCAAAAGTAAACACTTTGAGGATGTTCTCTAAAGAACCGGAAACCACTGGCCGTCATTAATTTGTCCAGTTCTCTGTGACTTGAAAATACAGATCAATTTTGATAAAGAAAAAAAATTTTGATAAAGAAGTCATTGTTTTACTACTGAGAGAAAAAGTAGAACCACAAATAGAAATCCATGTAACTCCTGAGATACCGATGTGGCTATGCCCCTCTTCGCATCAAGCAATGTAACTCCTGTTCCAGGATCTAGGCCCCTGTGAAGCTTGGCTGAAAACTTCATGCAGTTTAGGAAAGGCCAAAGAACCAATAGGTGGGCTAGACCATATGTCTTTATTGATTTGTATTTAAAAATTGTTTTTGCCACTCATTTCCCAGAAACTCTTCAATGGCTCCCCATCATCTTTAGGATAAAGCTCAAATTTCTTCCTTGGCTTGATATGGACTGCCTGTGAGCCCTGAACAAAGTCTTTTGTGCTTGTGTCCCTTCTGACTGGGTCAGTGAGACTCAGCTCTATGTAGTCCTCTCTGACTCACCCAAGGAAGAAAAGATCCCCCCCACCTCTGTACTTCTGCCATTCCCTGCTTGCCTCCATTATGATACTGTACTATACTGGCTGTACTGTCCCACTGGATAGACAACTCCTTGAGCGAGTCTCACTTTGTCTTTTACAATTTTTAGATCTCTATCCCTAGTTCCTGGCCCACAGTAAGCACTAGACGTCTGAAGAGGGGACAGAGGTGGGTGGGTGAGCTCCACTGCTGGACCTACAGCAAAAGCACACAACACAGTTGTGGAGACAAATTCCTACAGTCATTTTCCAGTGAGACTGGAGCATTCTCCCATCTGCACACTATCCTTACTCGGGGTGCCTGCCACACAGATGCCGGGAAGTATGGAGCCTCCCTGTTCCAAGGGCCTAGCTGACTCATCATCTCTTCCATACATAGACTTCAGAGCTCCCCTCGCCATCTTTCCTCTTTCACGAATCCCCGCTCGGCTGAAATGTTTCAAATACCTGTTCTTTAATCCTATTCCTCTTTCTTCCCTCTTAGAGTCTTGCTTAGGAGAACCTCTCGTTTGCTCCCTTCTACTTAAACAAAATACGCTTTACAATATAGGAGATAAGCATATGAGGAAACTAACAAATCCATATCAAGGACAAGGAAAACCACACACTTTGAAATGAAATTAAATGTACTGCCACACACAATAACTGCATCTTGAAAGTGTTAAAGATTTTTCATAAAAGACAAAAAGCAACAGAAAAGTTGTACAGAACATGAACAGGCCATTCACGACACAAAACAGTGCTTGATCTCTCTAGAAATCAAGGAAATGCAAACTGAAACAGAGAAATACCATTTTGTGTCCAACTGGATTGGATAAAAGTCTGCCAATTCTAGATACTGGTGAAGAAATGGTGGTGTAGGAACTCTCAGCATCTGCCGAGGGTCTAGAAAGTTGGTACCTTTATTTTGGAGAGTAATTTGGCAACATGTGGTTAGGCTGACAATGTGCCCGCTTTATGACTTAGCGATTCCCCTGGTGTACATACAAGTACAGGAAGACATACATACATACAGGGACAAAGGGATGTTCCCTGGAGTCCTACTTACAGGAGAAAGAAATTGGAAATGACCCAACTGACTTAGTAGTGGGACAGATTTGATATATTCATAAAATGGAATACCATACAAGAGTTAGAAGTCAATCGTCTAGATTAATCAGTTTCAATACTCTGGATCCTCTAGGGATGTGTAGATTTTACAGAATGAGACATACTGTAGGATACCATTTATATAAACTAAAACAAATTAAATGTTGCTTACACCGGAAATAAAATTGTAAAATACAGATTATGTATACACTAAATTCATGACAGTGCTTATCCTTGGGGGAGGGAGAAAGAGGGTTAGGAAGGGAAATATGGGGGGATTAGACTTTAATGGTTTATTTCTTCAAAATTGAAAAACAACCCGAAACAATATAACCAAATGTTACTATTTTTTCATGTTGACTGGTGAGTACACAGGTGTTGTTACATTATTAATGTGTTGTTACATTATTAATGTAGAGCTTTGAACTAGTATTTTAAAAAACCAAGACCCCAGTATATTGCATTCCAATATCCTCCAAAGTTCCTTGGATTTTCTTATAAACATTTCCTTATCATTTAAAAAAGTCAATCATAGTTGAGATAACTTAAAAAATTTTTTTCCTTTTTCTAGTTCACTTTTAGTTTTTTAAAATTTAAATTCAACTAATATACACACTGTATTAGTTTCAGAGGTAGAGAGTTCAGTGATTTATCAGTCTTATGCCACACCCAGTGCTCATTACATCAAGTGCCTTCCTTAATGCCCACCACCAATCACCCCATCCCTTCACCCACCTCTAGTGACTCTCAATTAAAAGCAATTTTTTCAATCAGCTTCTATGGTTTTCTATTCCAGTTACAAAAGTGCATTTTCTTCTCTGCTTCAATGCAAATCAATACTGTTTTTCATCATCTATGGGCACCAGGAGGTGGGATTTGCCACTAATTCTGATCTACAAGAGACAGCTTAACCACAAGAGTTATTAGCACACTGGGACATGACCTGTCTCCAGAGAACATTCTGCCTATGCCTTTCTCCCCAATCAGTTCTATCACCCGACAGAATTAAGCAAAGGCGATTTTGAAAGAGGTGGTGTCATCACTTTTCACAGACTTCAGTAATATTCAAGTTCTCAGGCCAGTGTTGGGAGATTTAAAAGACAACTCCAACTGATGAATCACACACGCAGATATAACACTAAAATGTACTTCTAGGAAACACCTCTTCATATACATTCCCTTTTTAGCAGAGACAGGCCCCCAAACCTCTAACCCAGCTGAAATTGT